AGTTCTCCCACAAGTTGATCACTTTATTTAGGAGGATAAACTGTTTAGGAACAAATCAATTGGCGTCAGATCAAATTCGTTGACAATCAGGAAACGTTGGAGATGATAGGAGTGAAACCAATGAACGTTTTCTCGTTGATTGATGAAGAGAGTATATTTCCCAAGGTAAAGCTCCAGCTCCATTTCAATCATTGTTAAGGGACCTTTATGTGATTCTGAATTACCCATTTCGAAACATGATTTCATCAGGGTACCGATCATACCATGCTCTCTAAATTGCACGATGCTAACTCTAACAAGAGTTACTACATGCGCCCAAAGGCTGATCTGCAACGTTCCTTTGGAATAAAACATTTTGCTGGACCGGTTTTCTACCATGTTCGAGGTCGGTTCTAGGTTGGGACGAATATGCTTTTCCAAATAAAATCCGCCAAATTTCCAGGGTTCCTTGATAAGAATCGAGATGCCTTTTCGGCAGATTTGCATGCTCTCGTTCAATCATCCAAAATGCACCTTTTGCTGAGGATCTTTGACGAATCTGACTATATTCCGGCGGCTATCGAAGGCACTATGAGGTAGGTACAGTTCCGGTCAGCATTCATTTATTCTAAAAGTTGGGCTTAAGGGGCAGGAGCGCCACTGTCAGCAGCCAATTCCGGAAGTCATTGGAACAACTGATGCAGCAACTGAACCACACGGAGCCATTCTTCATCAGATGCATCAAACCGAATGAATTCAAGAGGCCAATGGTATGTCACCGAGAGTTCTTTGCAGAAATATTTGCCATACCCATAAGATGCAAAGAGAGCGGCTAATGTCTCTAGCTGAAAGTGGCCCTGGATTCTTAAAGTTCACCTCAGCTTTCCAAAAAGGGTAGATTGCATCAGGTATCGTGGGCCAACCTTGCGTACGCAGCAGTTGAGCGACATGTCTCGCACTGTCGGTTCCACCGGATGACTCCCATTTCTATCAGGGAGCTCCATGAATAAAAATTCCTTAGACATCATCAAACAAAAGCATTCTATAGAACTTTCTGGATCTAACCGTGATGCCCTTTCTTTCGCATGCCACCGCTGGATTTTTGGTGACATGAAAAGGGAGAGCAGTTTAAGTTGCGACTGAATTGGAGGGGTCACGTAGATGATTCAAATATGGCTTTCCTTCGCTATTACTCTTCTTCTTCTTAAGAGTTAGAGTTAACAAACTTCCCATTTTGTTTGTTTTAGCTGCTCGTTATCAAACGATCAAAGTACTGTTTAGATGATGGACCGTGGACTGGTGCTACGTCAACTTCAATACTCTGGGATGTTAGAAACGATCAAAATTCGTCGAAACGGCTATCCCATACGCCACGACTTTGAACCTTTCGTTCAACGCTACCGGGTTCTCGTCAACGGGATTGGTGAGACTCAAATCACTTTTTTTTTATTTTGCTACCTAGTTAACTGACTTACAAATGGATCAGCCCACTGAAAAGAGCTCCATTGTCTGTGGCGAATTCTATAATACGAAACTATTATTACTCTCGCGGATAATCACTAGACAGTCCAGTTAGGACCTATGCATGCATGAATTGAGAAAATGGTAAACCAGTCGATAAAGGTCGCATGAATGGGTATATGAAAGGGCCTATTGGAAAATCTCTTTTTTTGACAAAGAGCATGGAAACTGATCCGTCAAGACAGTCGGTAATTTCCTTGATTCTCGCTAAACCACTTGGTGCACCAGGACCATGAACACTTTAGATTTTAAATAGTGCGCTTAGTTTGCTTTGTATGTAATCCGTTTTCAAGTGGTTTTACGAGTTCTTAGGTCTGGAACTGCTATCTAAAGCAATACTTTTTCTTATTTTTGAATGTTTGGTCGTTCCACTGATATTTATTGTAGAAGAATTCGAGAAAGCTGCACTCATAAAAAATTCCTCCCAAAACATTGAATTTGTTCATTCTCGTAATCTTTTCAAATTGTTTTCCTTCCACTCAATTTATGCTCCTTGGATTTTGGAGTAACTGAGGTGTCTGGCCTGCGTGCAGCTAGCCTCAAGTACGTAAAGTCCTTGTAACCCTTTACAAGACTTACATACTGCTTATTCACGGATTCGAAACGGCTTCACGTTGTTGACACTTATAACTTCTTGTAAACCACCCTCTAGCTTTTTATTCTTATAATGGAGCACCAAAGTCATCAGTTATAGGCGCTACGAATTATGACAGCAGAAGTGCAGCGGAATTGATTTGCCGCAAAGTGCTTGGACAAGGTTCAGACTTCCAGCTCGGGAAGACGAAAGTGTTTTTGAAGGAAAGGCATGATCTGTTTCTGGAACAGGTACGTAGACAGCACGAATAAGATTCTCCAGTGAAAGACCGAGTTTCTACACGGATATTTGCTAGGAATATCATCGCATGCTGTCTTACCGGGCTACGGTTATTCAAAAGCACGTCAAAGGTTGGGTGGCAAGGAAATCGTTCCTCAAGAAGAAAGAGGCGGCGATTGTGATTCAGAAGCACTGGAGGCGTTACGTTCATCAAAAACGATACTCACAGGTATGGGAACTGCTCTTGTTCCCACTCTGGTGGGTAATATAATACGTTCGTTACAGATCATTGCCGGAATCTGTCGCCTACAAGCTGTTCTTCGATCTCGACAACTCGTCCTACATTACCAAAGTTTACGACATAATATCATTCAGTTCCAGGTGATAGCGTCAACGCTTTTTTTTCGCTGCATTTTCTTGGAAGTAGAGTGAAGTAGAAGAGCAGACGTTTTTCGATAGCGCGCCTATGAGTGTATTAAATAAATGAAATAAGTTATATAAAAGCCTTCAATAGGCCGCATGTCGTGGAGCGCTCGTCCGTGCAAGAATCAGAGAGCTGAAGAAGAATGGAGGACGACGAATACCGGTTCAAGAAGATCCACGGGACGAGGTCAAGGAAGAAGTCAGGGAAGAGGAACTGGTACGATTTTGCGTAAAGCCTACCATACACTCATGATCTTCCACATCCAAATAAACTCTAATTGTAAGCAGTGAAAGCACAAAACTAGTAGGAAGGCTCCCTTTTCAGTGCTAGCTAGTCGAAAAAAATGACAGAGGTGAGAAGTAGGAGTTATAATGGCGGGGGGGGGGGGGGGGNGGGGGGTGGTGGTGGCGGGTGTTTGCCTTGAAATACGACGGACACAGTAAAATGAAGGTCCTCTCCAGAAATATTGCTTATCGCTATACTCAATCAAAATGTAGTACCAAAAAAGAAGCTATTCAGTGGTTCCCTAGTACGTGTGTCAATCCTGATTTATATCTTTCCCACATTTCAGATTTTTCTCCTAAACGGAAGGCATTTTGAGGTATCATACTATATTGCTGTGCTCCTTTACTTTGGGCCTTTTTTCTTGAGCGAGCATCAAGTTTTCTTGCTCTTTTCTTTTTTCTGCGATTATTTCCAAAGGATATCCCCTTTGAAATGTGCTGCTTCGAAATTTCTATTCCTGAATTGAATGCATTATATTTCATCTATGCCTTTATCGTTCCTGATTTTCCATCTGTCTGATTCTCATTCGTATAGGTAGGACAGCTCTTCGATTTCCTTCCACCCGACACTCGTCTGGAAACGATCCCGGACAACGTTTCCGGAAGCAGTGATAGTATTGACTCTATTCACAGCCAGGTATTTTCTCATTCCGTGGATGAGCGAACTTTTATGTAGGCTAAAGCTTTACAGGGGCCAGCCGCTGAAACTGCTGTGAAACTGGGAGACGATCTGGAGAAATATCAGTTCGGAAAATTCGCTGCCACATATTTCCAGTCTCAAATAACCTCTTCGCACTCGAAGAAACCCTTGAAATCACCTCTCCTGACTCACGAAGACTCCGGAACCCAGCTGGTCAGTTTAAGTACAACCTGAGAGTTTATTAACAGTTCAGTTAATATTTAGGCAGCAATGGCTGTTTGGATAACGATTCTCCGGTTTATGGGAGATATGCCAGACGTGAAATATGGCTCGAACAATGGAGACGTGCCGGTAAGTTGCCTTAAAACACTCAACGTCTGAGGAATGTGCACTGTAATTTGTAAAATAACTAAAGGGTGGAAAAGCGAGGGGGTGGGATCTGATTGAGGATAAAAGGATAAGGTCTATGGGCGTCGATCAACCCTGTCTGAGGGATGCGCCCCAGCGTTCGACGAGACTTGATGCTGGTCCTATCCTACTGCAATAACTAGTTGGGGCCATTTGACAGGAAGTTGTAGAACAATTGCTAATTGGAGTGTTGTTGACTTCCATTGCTTGAGGTGCATCTATGCGGGTTGCGTGGGGTCTCGGATGAATCCGCGTGGAAACTTTAAACAGTGGAGTTCAGTAACACTAGGACCTTCCAGCGATGCTCAGATGCAAGTGAAAGTCAAATTCTTGCTTGAAGTGAAATGTAACTAAGCCCCCTTTGCTGACTTTATGCATCCTAGGTGTAAGAACAAGATTTTGCAGGGAGCTTAAGCACCCGCTCAAAGAAAACAACACCCTAAGCTCGTCACATACGGTACTTTCAAATACTTTCATAATGACGGATACCATGCGTTGTTGCTCACTTCCTTTTCTGAGCCTACATAAATAAAATCAAAAGTGCAGTTTTGGCGTTGACAAACCCCATTTTTGGAGGGCCTACCCTTTCGAATTATATTCAGCATCGTTGAGGTGCCTAAATGCGTATTAGACTCAGACTATTAATTAGCGGGGCAGCTGAAGTACATGCCAGTTGTTTTGCTCCCCAGAGAAGTCTGGTACCAATCATTCGGTGTCGAAACGTTGAAAAGTGGTAGCCCAAGGCGGGTACGGGTCCGAGGTTTGGTCCCGTGAGCTGACGCTGTACCATTTCTCTCTTCGAAAAAAAATGGCTATACCTGAACAATAATACAAATAATTATTGTCCTAAGGCCTTCTTCATTTATGATGCATCTTTGAGTACAGCGGAGCTGATGAATTATGAAATAAGTGTCCAAGAAGTTGAAATATCCATGGCGAGGCGATAGACCAACTTGAAATATTGGTTATGCACATATTTGCGGTTGTGGTTCATACTCTGATTACGTCTACTCCCCTCACTTTGGTATCAGTAAGTGATCTTAGAACTTTAGGATAAAACTCCGATTATGAGTCGACTCTTTGAAACACTGAGCAGAAAATACACCTCTCGTGACGTCGAGGAAGCCGCCCAAGCGGAGGAATTTGACGGTGCAGGTCGAACTCTTAAGAAAAGCATGGGGAAGAAACTGATGTCCATGACATTAAAACGAAAGACGAAGCTCTCAGGTAGGTGCAGGCAGCAGAGCGCTTAATTCATTTTTCTCGAAATTGAGTCGATTTAGGCATGAGCTCCTCTTCGTCAGAACGCTCGACGGATTCATCGTCATCGTCGAACGCTTTGATGGAGAACAGACCGATGAGTTCACTCGATAAGCTTCACTACATTATCGGGATGGGAATACTGAGAGAAGAACTCAGGTAAGTGTGGGAAAAGTAAAAATATAAAAACGGCGGAAAGATTCTGTCAACATATTTCAGAGACGAAATTTATTGTCAGCTCTGCAAGCAGCTCACTGGCAATCCGTCAAGGCTTTCGGCTGCACGCGGCTGGATTCTGCTGTCGCTGTGCGTTGGATGCTTCGCTCCTAGCCCTCGGTAAGATTCTGTACAACTCCCTGTCTTTTCAAGAACTCTTCAGAATAGTTTGGAGTGGCCAATATGCATAATCTAATTACTCCTCTTCATGTTGACTAGCTGTACCCCCACTGAACCTCCCATTCTAAAGAATTGCAAACAAAAACGAAGTCCTGTCCATCTGCACATTTTACTGTTGTCAATTCAGCTTTATCAAGTACCTTTACTGCTTCATCCGGGAACGTGGTCCATCCGGAGCTGGATATGCGGCTTACATGGAAGAACGATTACGACGAACTGAACAGAATGGATGTCGTCATCAACCGCCCAGCTACGTCGAGCTCCAGGTAAGCGCCCTTCTTAAAATTGAGCATTCCATTCTCCGAAAGCTTTCGTGAAGAAGTTCACCCCCTGTGCTGTAGGTTGAGTTCCCGGTTTTCCGAAGTAATGCGGTTCACATATGACTTCTATTCCCCAGAGCTATTGGGGCGAACCTTTCCTCTCTGCGGTTTCCCTGAGTTTTCTTATTATTTGAATTAGCACGTTTCAACACTAACCTGATTTTTCCACAACTAATTGACTTTCAGGCAAAAATTCATGCCCAGCTTTACTAAAGCTCAATACAGTGATATACACAGCATCAGAGAATGTTAGACCAGCCTCAGAGATACTTTTGAAGGCGAACAAAGCGAAGAAGCTGATAGTGTTAGCCGTGACGCTTATGGACGGGTCAGTGAAGACGTTGTGCGCGGACAGTGCCACTACGGCTGCTGAAGTCTGTTCAGCTCTAGCCGAGAAGATAGGCCTCAAAGAGAAGTTCGGCTTCAGTCTCTACATTGCTCTTTTCGACAAGGTGAATACTTTTCTGCTCGATTCTTTTATCCGCTCTACGATGTCCCTTGTTCAGGTGTCATCCCTTGGCTCAGGGTCTGACCATGTGATGGATGCAATATCACAATGTGAACAGTATGCCAAAGAACAGGGTCGGCAGGAAAGGAGTGCACCATGGAGGCTATTTTTCCGAAAGGAGATCTTTACTCCTTGGCACGATGCCAAGTGCGTTTTCTTCTTGAGCTGTCTTTGCCTGGCAGTGATGGATGAGAACTTTTCAGAGAGGATCCAATCAGCACGAATCTCATCTACCAACAAATCGTTCGGGGCATCAAGTATGGGGAATATCGATGTGATAAAGTAAGCCTGGCTCAGTGAATCACCATTTTCAGTAAATCTCTGCTTTCGTTCAGGAGGATGATCTCGCATCCTTCGCTGCCCAGCAGTACTTCATCGAAGAGGGGCTCCTGGACGTGAATCGCCTCGAAAGTCAACTGCACAATTACTTACCAGATTTCGAGCTGAACGGGAAAGAATTGGCAAGAGAGCGATGGATTCAAGCAATCATGTACCACTACAGGAAGGTAGTGAAATTTACAGTTAAGAAATTCTGCTGTCCGTTTTGTGGCAAATGTGGTTACTTGCAGAAGTTTGGTGTGAATCCTCCATCACCACATCATGTTAAGGAGGACGTGGTATCATTTGCCAAATTCAAGTGGCCGCTATTGTTCTCCAGGTAAGACTCAGCTTTGCTGGGCAGGGAGTAATGCTACAAGAAAAATATGAAATGACGTAGGGATTTTCTTCGACAACGAGATCGAAATGAAGAAGGAAATTTCTTTGAGCTTTCACCTTCTCCCCATACAAAGACATCGTAAGGACGTATTTTCTCGTCAACCCCCATAAAGTGACACCGCTTACAGGATTCCGCTATCGTCACCTTGTGGGCGTGTGGAATATTTTACTATTAAGCCCTCTTTTTCAGTGGCGGCCATTTCACAGATGGCCCAAATAAGATGTGATTGATGTATTCGTGCTTTCAACTGTAGGGAGTTCTGACGACGTTCTTTCCCCTCCATCAATTCGAATAGGCCTTGCACTTTGTTTTGGCTAGATTTTTGCTTTACAATTGTATTTAGCGGTTTGTGTGTATTGTAAACTGCTTTGGGTTACGGTCAATTACGCTTCTAAATCCCTTTGTTCCGCATTCCGTTTCCATCATGTCCTACATTCAGTTGAGGAGCCATTCTTGTTCCGAATGCTTCCAGTGGGCGGTGCTTCCAAGCCTCTTGTTCTTCACCATTCACACGGGAGCATTTTGAGTACGCTTGCAGGTTCTACGAAGCTACCAAATTCTCGGGATCTCCCCTCCCTCGCAATGATGTCATTGTAGCCGTGAACTGGACGGGTATCTATGTGGTTGACGATCAGGAGCATGTACTGCTGGAATTCAGCTATCCAGAAATCACGAAAGTGACGCACCAAAAGTAAGGTACCACAATGAAATCTTGCTAAGCATCGATCTTACCGAATGTTCTTCCAGGCAATCGCGACCGGGTGCTGATACCTGTGTCGTTCAAACGGTGACAGGAGACGAGTACACATTCCAATCACCCAACGCTGAAGACGTGAAAGACTTGGTGTCGACGTTTATTGACGGTCTCAAACAACGAAGCCGATATGTCATTGCAACTAAACGCCAGAAGGGGGACGGTGAGTGGGTTCATGTCGTAGAGTTGCAGAGCAATCTCATTGTATTGCTTTCCCAGATACGTCCAATTTGCTCGAGTTCGAAGTTGGCGATCTTATAGTCTTGATGAATCAGACAACTGGGAAGGATTTGCTTACTGAAAAATTAGTCAAGGTAGGGATTAGAACTTTGCAGCTTTAAGAGTAGCCAATATTCGGAGCTACAAACCTCTGTTAAACATTTTAGGGCGAATGTGCGCGGACGTGCCTGCAGGGTTATGTCCAAACGGAGAATGTCTATGTATTACCAACCCTCATCAAGCCGAATGTGAACACTCTGGTTAGTCATCTGTCTCAAATTCCATCAGATAGCTACCTTCCAAAATGGAATCGATTAAGCCATCGTTGTTCGGAGATAGGCTAAATTATTACTATTGAAGTACCCAACTGACAGCAGTCCTATGGTTCGAAGAGTCTCAAGACACAGTTCACAATTCCGGATCATCTAATTTAAGAAGAGTAATGGAATTGATAGTCCAGAACAGTACAAAAGTGTCGAAGAGAACTCGGAACTTTGAGAAAAAGAGAAGCATAAGGCAGTAAAAAAATAAGTCAGGTTAAGAATTATGAAAGCTAGGAAAAAGCTGCATGGTAGGGGTAAACGGACGACGTTCGAACGCGCCATTGCATACAGCTGGCTGCAATGCGCAGCCTGCGTGCAAGGTGTCGGTCCCGGTGCGAATATTGTAAACTTCGCAGCTTTTACAACGCTTAGCAACTCGTCCGCCTTGAGATCGTGTTAGCAATCTCATACTTTTACTGATAGTGTAACGAGCAATGCATACGTCTTTGTTGTCTGAGGGTATCGAAAGCGCTATACAAGATGAATGTTCTCACGACGCATGAAATGGCTGCTTCCATAGTCCGCCGGAGTGCCGGCGTACCGGCGTGCCAGCCGAGGTAGTGCTAGGAGGGAGAAAGGAGGCAGACGATGGGTCGACGGTTGCATTTGCCCTTCGGGGCTTATGTAAATGATTTTTGATCTTGTTTTTCTTCGTTTTCAGCCCCTTCGAAGGGGCTTGGGCGCGACGCGACCGCCGACCCACCGTCTGCCTCCCTCCTCCCCCCTGGCACTACCTCGGCTGGCACGCTGGCACGCCGGCGGACTATGAAAGCAGCCATTCTGGCTTTTTGATTAGAAGTTTGAGACTGCTCAAACTTCGCGAAATAAATGAAGTCAATCGATCTTTGCCAGTAAGATCTTGAACCACACCCAGCCAAATCGTTCTTGATGTTCAATTCCTGACTTATTTAATTTCCAGTATTTTTCAGCAGTTATTCATGAAAAGTGAGCAACTGTCTCTGGATATTATCAACAACAATCAAGTTGTCGTCATCCAGAACAACGGACGGCCGCATACATTGGAACAGTTTGCCATTGACAATTTCAGGTTTGCTGCCTTTTTGCTGTAGTATTTCCGCCATAGTAGGTCTCAAAGCTTTAATGTACTTTGACAGGGCCCCATCTCGTCCATCAGTCGCTCAACGGTCCCTCATGACGCTGCGACGTCGCGATGTCGCACCTCTGCCGCGGTGGCGATTCAATCGGGAACCTCTGGATGTGCCGTTGTTGAAGAAGCTGGAAGGGAGGTGAGCCTTCCACTCGTGCGTGTTCACTTCAGCTTTCAATAGAGTTCTGGAAATTCAGGGAAGAACAGTGTCGAGATGCGATCACTATGTTCATGTGTTTGCTAAAGTATATGGGAGATCAACCGTCAAGGCGAAGTCGACTCGGCACCGACCTCACCGACAGCATCTTCAAACCGGCTATCGCACATGTGAGTCTTCACCAAGAACTGCAAAGTCTTAAAAGCGACCCGGAAGGCTTTGCTGATCACCTGCTGGCATATCTATCTCGAACATATTTCAGGAAATCCTCCGCGATGAGCTATATTGTCAACTTCTACGTCAACTTACGATGAACCCCTCTATGTTATCAGAAGAGAGAGGATGGGAACTAGTTTGGCTTGCAACGGGCCTATTTGCTCCCAGTACAAGTCTTCTGAAAGAAGTGAGTATCCCTGTACTGTCTTTTGATGCCAAACAAATCGACCAATCTCCAAAAGTATTCATTTCAGGTGGTGCAGTTCTTGAAGTCGCGTCCTTATCCCGTCGCCCACGATTGCCTCCTCAGGGTAATGAAGATGAACAAGTAAGCTCGCAAAGTTGTTTCTGAGGTGGTAGAGCGTGGAAGCGATATTATGAGCTTTGATCATTTTCAGAGGATATTCCCGAAAATGTCCACCTCATTTAGTAGAAGTGGAAGCGATACAGCACAAAACAACGCAGATCTTCCATAAGGTAACTAGGATGGTGTTTTCTTTCCTTATACATTGGGCAATAGCCAAACATGGGAAATTAGTCGAAATGTCTATCGTACTGTGGATAATTTACCGTGCTTATTGAGGGAA